GAAAATCACACCAAGACCCCATATAATCAAATTGATGGAAGCAAGTGACAAAAAGCAAGTCTTAAAATTAGCCAAAGAGGGCCGTTCCATCGCATTGTTGTTATTGGATTATTTATCCTTGGAAGCAAAATCAATCTAGTTTTTTTCTTCCTCTCTCTCTCTCTTTTTTATTTTTTTTATTTTTTGAGATAGAGTCTTGCTTCTGTCCCCCAGGCTGGAGTGCAGTTGCACAACCTGTGGCTCACTGCAACCTCCGCCTCCTGGGATTTAAGCAATTCTCCTGCTTCAGCCTCCCGAGGTAGCTAGGATTACAGGCATGCACCACCACCACTCAGGGTGATTTTTTTGTAATTTTAGAAGACAGGATTTCACCACGTGGCCAGGCCTAGTCATGAACTCTAGTCTAACTCTATCTTCCCTCAGAAAAACCTGAGCTCTTTTCCATCATCCCAAGACTCTCCTTTCCAACAAGAGGCTTTTGAAGAATTGAAGAATCTTAAAATTTTTCCATATAGGGCTAAATCCCTATCTGCTTACATATCCCATTCCACCTTTGGGTTGTTAATCTTTCTGATGTGACGACTAGGTTTTCTTTGGAGGTATCATAAAACTTTTAGCACCTTTTTGGAATCCCAGTCTGCCTGCTCTCTTTTGCTAAGCCTTCCTGATACACCTCTGAGCTAGTTCAGCCTGCATTGGCTCTGAATATTCCTATGAGTCGCTTTTGTCCTCTCTTTCCTTCTCATGCTGTATGCGTATAACAAAAAGTTGTCTGTGCAGCTCCACCTTCAAAATGATACCTTGTGCCCAAACACTTCTGACTTACTTCTCCAGAAATATCACTGGCCTGGAACTACTGCAATAGCTTTTTACTCTTGCTGTTTCCCCTCTTTGCCATCTGCACCTTATTTCTATACATATCATGAATGAGATCAGTGCCATTTTCTGGCTATATTCGCTGTAATGCCCAACACTGTTGGTGAGGCCGAGGCAGGCGAATCATGAGGTCCAGGAGATCGAGACCATCCTGGCTAACACAGTGAAACCCCGTCTCCTACTAAAAAATAACAAAAATTAGCCAGGCATGGTGGCGGGCCACCTGTAGTCCTAGCTACTTGGGAGGGCTAAGGCAGGAGAATGGCATGAGCCAGGAGGCGAGTTGCAATGAGCTGAGATTGCACCACCGCACTCCGGCCTGGGCGACAGAACGAGACTCCGTGTCAAAAAAAAAAAAGAAAAAAAAAAAAATTAGCCAAAGAGACCCAGGCACAGTGGCTTATGCCTGTAATCCCCAGCACTTTAGGAGGCCAAGGCAGGTGAATCACTTGAGGTCAGGAGTTGGAGGACCACCCTGGCCAAACATGGTGAAACCCCATCTCTACTAAAAATTTTAAAACCAAATAAAAAGTTCGCACAGCATGGTGGTGCATGCATTCATCCTAACTACTGGGAGGCTGAGTATGGAGGATTTCCTTGAACCCAGTAAGCAGAGGTTGTAGTGAACCGAGATCAGGCCACTCATACATTCTAGCCTGGGCCGACATCGAGAAAGTTCGTTTAAAAAAAAAAAAAGAAGAAGAAGGATGAAAGGTAAGCTAAAAGGCACTCAATCCAAAAGAAGGGAGTCGTATTTTATGAGAAAAAAAGGAAGAAAAGCCAGAATAGATGGTAAAAACAAATAACCAAAATGGTTGATTTAAGCCCAGTTTTACGTAATAAACCATTAAATGTAAATAGTCCAAAACACTTGCAATTGACAGACAGGAGATTGTCACGATTGAATAAAAAGCAGACTAAACTATATGCCTGCTACATAAAAACCTACCTAAAAATATTAAAATAACACAAGTTTAAAAGTAAGGTGATGGGAAAAACATGTATTGTGCAAACAGATAATTGTGATTGATTAAAGGTGAAACAAATCTAAAGAAAACCAGAGTGAATAATACTGTATTAGGACAAAGCACAGGACGTTCTAGGCAGGCGTGGTAGAGCTCATGCCTGTAATCCCTAGCACTTTGGGAGGCCGAGGCAGGGGGACTCACGAGGTCAGGAGTTCGAGACATACTGGCTAACACGGTGACCAGACTCTCGCCTCTAATGAAAATACTAAAATTAGCCGGGCATTGGTGGCAGGGGCCTGTATCCAGCTACTCGGAGCTGAGGCAGGGAGAATGGCGTGAACCCAGGAGGCGGAGCTTGCAGTGATGCTGAGATCGTGCCACTGCACAGGGATAAACGATGAACACTTTAATTTTAAAGTGAAGATTGAGGCATCA